GAGTGATGAACAGAAATTTGATAGCTAGAAATTATGGCATTATATAATGAGCACCTGGGAGTATTAGTAAAAAAAAAAATGGATATGCTGGTGACAAAAACCAAAGTAGATAAAGTAAGAAAAAGTAGCGTTTGGATCATTTAAATAATAATAGGATTTATGTAGGGAAATATAATTAAAACTCTAAAAATACAATCGGATTCCATATATTTATGAGGACTTAAAGAGGACTTTAAATACTCGAATGAGAAGCTTTGACTTAATTTGGTAGGAAATAAGAGAAGAGAGAATTTGTGTGTTGTTAGCAAGGAAGTGACATTGTGAGAGCTGTGCTTTAAGAACTTAATCTGGTAGCAGCATGCCCATGGTTTATGGAGGCAAAAGGAAGACAGAACACGTGTTGGTAAGACTAGTTCAAGCAAGGAAAGTAGATTTGAATAGGAAAAGTGACATTCAATGTAACAGACAGTGTCAAAAGTATGAATCATGTGAGGAGTGTTTAAAATATTTTTATACAACAATGTTATTATCTGAGAAAAAGAGAAAGGAAAGGATTGCAGGCCCTGGTGAAGATAATCTTAATTCTGATGTAGCATTTTTTTGTTTAAATTGTTACTTAGAATTCATATGATATTATAATATTTTGTTTTATCTTATTCTGAATAAGCAGAAAATATTTCTTTGAAAATAATGTTTTAATCATATTGTATGTAAAACCAATGAGAAAAAAAATCCACATGTAGACATAGTCTACAAAACTTTTAAATTATAAATATAGTGGTCTGACTGTGGCACAGCAGGTTAAGCTGCCACCTGCATGCTGGCATCCCATATGAGCACTCTTTCAAGTCCTGACTGCTCCACTTCCAATACACCTCCCTGCTAATGTGCCTGGGAAAGCAGCAGAAGACGGCCCAAGTACCTGTACCCCTGCCACCCATGTGGAAGATCAAGATGCAGTTCCTGGGTTTCTACCTGGTCTAGCCCTCTCTTGGCTGTTGAAACCATCTGGGGAGTGAACCAGAACTGTCTTTGTAAGTTGGCCTTTCAAATAAATAAATAAATCTTTTTAAGACCATTAAAAAAATAGAGAATATCCTCTCACCATCTATAGCAGTAACTCTCACCTAATTTTTTCTATCTCTATTTCCAGTTCAAAGTGCTATAATAAATTTTAGCCAGTTAGGAAAAAAGCGAAATAGACACAATGCAAATACTACACATTAGGCTGGGAAAGAATTTATATCTATATGTGCAAAGGGGTTTAAAGTTATAGGACTGGGGACTCCTTTATATTTAAGATGAAATGGATATTTTCCAGAATAGATGTAAATCATCAAAGATAATTTGTGATGAGTTAGAAAACACAAATATACTATGAAACAAAGAATAAACAGGAAAATCATATCAGAGTTCTGTCCCTCCAGCTAATTAAGGTAATTATATTACTATGTGAAATTAATCAGTCTCCCCTTTCAATGTAAATAAGATTATACATTCCCTCTTACAGTGCTTGTCATATCAGAGTGCCTAGGTTTGGGTTTGAGTTTTCCTTTGATTCTAGCTTCCTGCTAATGTATATCCAGGGGACACTAGGCAACGGCTCAAGTTTTTGGAGACTAAGATTGAATTCCCAGATTTTAACTTTGACCTGGCCCAGCCATGGCCGTTGCAAACACTAGAGGTGTGAACAGTGGATGGAAGATTCTCTCTCACACGCTCGCTCTTGCTCTTGTTCTCTCTCTCCTCTGCTTATATTTCAAATAAAATAAATACACAACTAAAATGTAAACATTAATGTGCCAAAAATAATATCCGTGATGATTTCCAAGTTGTGGGATTATAAATACCCTTTCTTCTCCTGTGTATTTTTAAATATTTATTACAATCACTTGTTCATTCAAGTAATATATCTTGAGCACCTGTTATATTTTAGGCACCAGAAATACGTTTTTCTTGAACAAAGGACACCTCCTTGAGAAGATCATAATGGAAAAAATAAAGGACAGGTGAAGAAACACAGTAAATATATTTTTTTTCAAGCAGTAAAAATCCAGGCAAAGAAAAGAGCAAGTATGATCTTTGAGATGCACGCATACATAACATGGTCAGTGCACAGTCAGGAGGCGAGTGTGGTTGGAACAAAAGGAATGATATTAAGAAATCAGGTCAGAGAGGTAAATATGTGCCAGGTCACAATGCACAACCTGGGCCAATGACTATTTCTTACTTGTGCTGTTGAAAAGTTACACATAAATAAGCAGAATTAAATGGTTAATTTAAAAAGTCCTAATGATGTTGAAATAAACATTGTATAGGGGCCAGTACTGTGGCATAGCGAGTAAAGCCATCGCCTGCAGTGCTGGCATCTCATATGGGCGCCAGTTCAAGACCCAGCTGTTCCACTTTCAATCCAGCTCCCTGCTATGGCCTGGGAGAGCAGTGGAGGGTGGAATAAGTGCTTGGGCCCTTACACCCGCGTGGGAGACCCAGAAGAAGCGCCTGGCTCCTGGGTTTGGATGGGCACAGCTCCAGCCATTGCATCCATCTGGGGAGTGAGTGAGCAGATGAAGGATCTCTCTCTCTCTCTCTCTCTCTCTGTCTCTCTGCCTCTGCCACTCTGTAACTCTGCCTTTCAAATAAATAAATTAATCCTTTGAAAAAGAAATAAACATTGTATAGAGAATTATAAATGTATTCACACAGTGAAGTGAGATAACCAAAAGTATTAAAAGAGATCTTTGTTAGGGTTTATGCATAATATGATATCATGAAGTTGAAAAAAAATAAGAAACATTATCAAATTATCTTGGATCAAATTAGTCTATTTTTATTAATATGGTTTTCTCATCTACTGGCTATTTTAACACAATTTGAATCCAAATTAAAAAGTAAGATTATCACTCACACTGGCTATTTCATTATATTAACAATCAACAATGTCTCCATCCAAAAAAAAAAAAATCTAGTCTCCAAGTCTTTCATTAGAAATTCAATGTTAAAATATAAGTGATCATTTCCATCTTTAAAGTTCTTACTGAGCCAAAAGCATATTCCAAATTTCAGCTTGAATTAATTTTACCCACAGAGATATTAGCAACAGAGAACCAGAAATTAAAAATAAACATTTCCACTTAAAAAGTAAAAATAAACTCCAAGTTGTCAAGATAAAACAGATATAATCCTGACACAGTACAAAAGCATTTCAGTTGCCTAAATGGCATAACCGTAATTCAACACGGGTTCAAATATATCCTAAGACAATTGAAAAATATACAGACTTTTCTCTCTTCCCATTTGCTTTCTCCAGATTGGTTTAAAGGGTAAGACCAGAGAGAGGTAC